GTGATGCAACAATCCACTCAGCACCACCAAGCACTGGATTATCCTAGGAGCAAAAGTAGCTACACATGTAGTATTAGCTACACATGTAGTAGTAGCTACACATGTAGCTACATATTTAGTAGCGACATATGTAGTAGTAGCTACACATGTAGCTACGGGCCCCGCACTTTCAAGGGCCACGCGTTAAATGCTTTCAAGCTGTCAATTCCGGTTCAGTGATTCTGCACTTGCTCTATTACCATAGTACTATACTGCCTTCAACTTTTATGAACGACCGGGTGTTTTAGGTTAGCGATTTGTCGTATTACCAGGCTGTATAGCAAATTAAAAAATACAATTACTTTACTATGCAAGTTAAACATTTGTAGTAATAGGTTTTTACCCTTTCATCTGGTACAAAAACTGACACCTTTATACAAGGGGTCATGTTTGAAATAACCACAACACAAGCAGTCAATATGCGAACAAAAAGAAACAACTCTGATAATGATATGCACTGTCCTTGAAGTTGATTGGTCCACACCCGAGACAGCTTTTCATAGAGCCTAGTCTCCATTGGTGTTGGACCAGGTGACGCCAAAAGGCGTACAACTCAAAAGCAGCGCACTATCAGAGTATTGAGAGCTCGGAGGTAAGCATTTACACTATGAGACCTCCATTAAACATTTGTGTTTTAATATTATTGTGTTTTTTTTCATTTAGGGTCCCTTTATAACATATGCCGCAGGCTCTGCACTAGCTTAATCCAGAACTCGCACCTACATATCAGCTCCTTCCATCGCTCCATCTCCTCGGTAGCTGTCCGCTATCCCACTGGCGAAATCCTTATTTATCTGACGGTAGCCGGGTAAGATTTCACACCCTCCCCAGGTGTCGCAATCTGGCCCCGACAAAACCGCTGACGCTATCAACGACCAGCGTTGCGGAGTTGATGCCGAAGCTCTTCCAAAAACCCGTGGATAGAGTTGGGCATCAGGCAGGAAGGTACCACGGCATACCATCCTCACGCTCACGGGGTAGTTGAGCGTGCGAACCGGACGCTAGCGGGTAAAACTGAGAATAAGTAATATTTAAAAAAACTTTTTTTTAAAACACGCTTTTATGAAATGTACTAGTAATGGCAGAACTCCACGAAGTGAGCCCGTGGCTTGCCATAACGTAAGGGACCGTGGCCAATTACAGCCAACGTGAGTTGACCATGGACAATTAGACCCAAGCCGAAACATAACATGTACAATGAATGTAACATTTTATTTATTTATTTTTAATGATAGAATATAGTATTGTCATCAGTATGACATAAGTATACCAAGTTTGCAGTCGATACCACATTGGGAAGTGGGTTAAAATTGAGTTACAAGATTTGAGGATACGACAACAACAGAGTGAGTTGATAGAAAGCGCGTAAAAAGATTGTAAAAATATAAATATATTTTAATGATAGAATATAGTATTGTCATCAGTAAGACATAGGTATATGAAATTTGCAGCCGATACCACATTGGGAAGTGGGTTAAAATTGAGTTGCAAGATTTGAGGATACAACAACGACAACAACGACAATAACAACAGACATAGTGAGTTAAATAAAAGCGTGGAATAAATGGTAGCGACGAACCAACAGGACTGGGACAACCACCTCTTCCCTATGTCCTGTCCATCTACCACACATCTGTGTGTGTTAGTGTTAGAGACGGCTGTAAGAGTTCTTCCTAACGCCTGTCGTCAGTGTGACCAGACAGAAGCGACATGCTTTACCGTGCCACCGGCTCATTGTGTAAAGACGAGCACCGTTAGATGCGATGCTTTTCTTGTAGAAAAGGGAAACTTCAGTTCAATAATATAATTTTATATAGCGTCATTCATGCAATTGCATCACACAACGCTGCACATCAATTATCCACTATGAGACCTCCTTTACCAGTAGCAGAATATAGTAATAGGTTTTTACCCTTTTATCTGGTACAAAAACCTTTATACAAGGGATCATGTTTGCAATAACCACAACACAAGCAGTCAAAATGCTTTTTGTTAACATTTTGACTACTTGTGTTGTGGTTATTGCAAACATAATCTCTTGTATAAAGGTGTCAGTTTTTGTACCAGATAAAAGGGTAAAAACCTATTACAACATCAATTATCCAATTCCGGACACAGATAATACAAAACTCCACTACTTCGCAAAAATATGACATTTTTAATACATAACGATTAAAATACACATAAGAAAATAAATTGAAATAAATAAATCCGTCTGGTGCAATACCGCCACCTGATGGCCGATTGGTTTAATAGCAGCGGTGGTGAGATGTTAACTACCTCTCCCGGTATACAGGAGGTCGTGGATTCCATCTCGACCCTGACGCCTGTTGTGTATTTGGAGTTTGCGTGTCTCTCTCTCTTCTCCCCGTGGTCGCGTAGATTTTTCTCCAAGTCCTCCGGGTTTTCTCTCCACATTTAGAATCAACGTGTGTTCAGAGGATTTAGCTGCTATAAATGTCCACATGATGATAAGCCACTTCGTTGAGCTATAATTTGTGGCCAGGTCGCTTCTGAAAAATAGATATATAGCTCACTGGACCTTACCTGGTAAAATTTTAATTGTATAAGATTTGTTTATAGAAACTTAAGTTTGTTGCAAAAGCACTAACCTAGTGGCCTAGATTATTTGGCTTCTATACATTTCCACGTCAGCCACAAAGTTGAGCTGGCGTTTGTGGCCAGGTCGCTTCTGAAAAAGAGCTACTGTATATATAGATATCTCAGTGGGCCTTACTTGGTAAAATTGAAATAGTTAAGAGTTTCGTTTATAGAAACGTCAGTTTGGTGGTGGAAAAGCACCACCTCGTGGCCTAGATGAGAAGTGGCAAAATTGTTTACATTTCCTTTACGGTACTTGGCACGACTGTCTTGTTTTTGTTATTATTTGTTGTTGTAACGTTCTGAGCAGCCCCTGCTGGACATCAGTGTAAAAAGAGCTTTATAGCTCATCGGATTCCTCCGGTATAAATACATATTTAGATTCTGGTTGTGGAGACACTGAGAGGGAGAATTCCCCAGCGTTGTGGAGCGGCAACGCAAAGCTCAGCCGGGTCTCCGACCTTCACCCGATATTTGAATCAGAATCTTTATACTGGTAGGAACCACCTGGTTCCACCAGCCCACAGGGGATTATTGTGTCCGTCCGTCCGTCGTGCATCCAAAAATGGGAGGGGTGGGGCTGGGTGGAGAGGGGAGGGTGGGGAGGGGCTGGGTGGGGAGGGTGGGGAGGGGAGGGTGGGGAGGGGCTGGGTGGGGAGGGTGGGGCTGGTGTTGGGGGTGGGAGGGGTGGGGGCTGGGTGGGGAGGGGCTGGTCACCCCGTGGTGCCCTTATAAAACTCAACGTTTAACCTACTCACGCCGGCTTGTGCCCGTCCTTACAGTCGGGCATATTTAAGGAATACACCACACCGCCGTTGACCCTGGCCATTGACCGAGCAACCCAACGTTCCTACCAGCTCCCTCCGCAGGAATGTGTTTTAATACGGGGAGTAATCCGATGAGCCATGAAGCTCTTTTACACAGATGTCCAGAAGGATGCGGGGCTCACAGAACGATACAAAAACGCGATAGGAGCGCATAGCAAAGGTCACTTGTTTTTATCTTTGCAGGTAAAGCCCCATTGAGCCGTTAACTTGACCTGTGACCTGGCCACAAATGATAGCTCAACTTTGTGGCTTCTTATCACGTGGACATTTTATAGCAGCAAATTCACAACGGCACGGCTGCCGTACCAGGCATGAAACCCCAAGGCAATGATTCGGTTCTGCTGTGAGTGTTAATCCCGTGACCATCACCACCGTTGCCCTTTGCACAAATTCACGTGTATATATATGTATAGCGATCAAGGGACTGGGTAAACAACGAAATGTGTGGCATTTAAAGAAACGTCAGACTTGGTGAGATTGACATTTGCACAAATTCACATGTAACTATTTATAGCGATCAAGGGAATGGGCAAACAACGAAATGTTAGGTATTTAAAGAAACGTCAAACTTGGTGAGATTTTTTTTCTCGCCTTGTAAATGTTAAATATCATTATATTTTTGGTTCAATATGAATTCCTGCAGTCACGAAAGTTTTAAGTCTAAATTGTATTATCATTATCATCATAATTCCAGGATGATAATGATAATTCCATTATCATCATAATGAAATTATGATGGTTCCATTACCACCATTATTTAATTAGAGTGTACAGTAACTTCATCGCAGCCTCTGGACTACAGCACTGTCATGTAATTAAATGTAAAGGTGCAGCCGATATTTTATTTCGCAACTTTTAGAGGCGATGAAGCCTTCTAATTTATTTCGGGGAGCTCCAGATCCATTCTAGAGAGATAACATCAATTCTAGATTTGAAGCTTTCGTGACTGCACGGATTCATACTCTTAGGTTTTTTCGGTAAAGTCACGTAGGTAAAAAATAATAAAAATAATAGAAATAATAATGGAAATAAAAATGATAAATCACGACGTTTCGGTGGCAACACAAGACTCCGTCATCAGGTGGGACCGTCACAGCTAGATTTACTAGCTCTTGATACAGTAAATCTAGCTGTGACGGTCCCACCTGATGACGGAGACTTGTGTTGCCTCCGAAACGTCGTGATTTAAAATTTGTATTTCTATTATTATTTCTACAATATTTATTATTTATTTTTACCTACGTGACTTTACCGAAAAAAACCTAAGAGTATAGATAACATCAACAATTGAGTCACCATTATCTTATCCGCACATTACTCTACACCACACGTGTATGTCAAAGACACCAGGAACTGGACACCAACACAAATATATCACGAATTAATTATATAAAAAAAACACCCTAAAAATCAATGAAATGGGAACTATTTTACCCGACGCATCACCACCCTCCACCCTCGTTAATATATTCAGTGGGTGGGGAGGGGCGTGGCTCCGCAACTGGAGGCGGAGCACACGCGGAAGGCTCCACACCGGGACTCATCCCGGCAGCCCCGTGGACACGAATTCCTGCCACTCCTCCTCGCGCATCACCCTCGCTCCCAGTCGGAACTACGAGCCCACGAGTTCTTTGCAGGCTCCCCACCCACCCACACCCCACCGCTGCAATGCTGCCTACAGGTTCCACCAAGTTCCAGGCCCCGTCTGCGATGAAGCCATTGACGACAGGTCGAGGCGTCTTGCCGGGCGCGCTGTCACCGGGGCGATCCCGCGTCTTCGCCGCCGCCGCCGCTGCAGGCGGACAGAAGCTCACACACCCGGGCAAAGCGATCCTGGCCGGTAACGAGGACCCCCCCCCCCCTACACCCCCCTACACCCCCCTACACTCCCCCTTCAAAAGAAACACTCCTTGCTGGTACACACGCAACACTCGCACCGGTGCACCAAACGCTGCTCGTGGTACTGGCCACACGCACTCCTCCTCTGCTAGACACTCTGCACGGTGCATTGACTCACACCCGCTCGCACTCCTCACTCGCACTGGCTGGCAACACTCGCATCGGTGCACACAAACACTCCTCGTGGTACTGGCCACACTCGGCACTGGCCACACACTCGCTCGCACTCACTCGCATCACACTCCATAGACTTACTGCTGGCACGCTCACGCTCTTCCGGGTACTGTCACACCTCCTATCCCCCAAACACTCCTACCCCCCCAACACTCCAACCCCCCAACACTCCTACCCCCCAACACTCCTACCCCCAACACTCCTACCCCCCAACACTCCTACCCCCCAACACTCCTACCCCCCCAACACTCCTACCCCCCCAACACTCCTACCCCCAACACTCCTGCCCCCCAAACACTCCTACCCCCCAACACTCCTACCCCCCCCCCCCCCCAACACTCCTACCCCCCCAACACTCCTACCCCCATCACTCCTACCCCAAACACTCCTACCCCCCCAACACTCCTACCCCCCCATCACTCCTACCCCCATCACTCCTACCCCCATCACTCCTACCCCCCCAACACTCCTACCCCCCAACACTCCTACCCCCCCCAACACTCCTACCCCCCCCCAACACTCTTGCCCCCCATCACTCCTACCCCCCCAACACTCCTACCCCCCAACACTCCTACCCCCCAACACTCCTACCCCCCCAACACTCCTACCCCCTAACACTCCTACCCCCATCACTCCTACCCCAAACACTCCTACCCCCCCAACACTCCTACCCCCCATCACTCCTACCCCCATCACTCCTACCCCCATCACTCCTACCCCCCCAACACTCCTACCCCCCAACACTCCTACCCCCCCCAACACTCCTACCCCCCCAACACTCCTGCCCACCATCACTCCTACCCCCCCAACACTCCTACCCCCCAACACTCCTACCCCCCAACACTCCTACCCCCCCAACACTCCTACCCCCTAACACTCCTACCCCCCAACACTCCTACCCCCCAACACTCCTACCCCCCCAACACTCCTACCCCCCAACACTCCTACCCCCAACACTCCCTACCCCCCAACACTCCCTACCCCCCAACACTCCTACCCCCAACACTCCTACCCCCCCCCCAACACTCATACACCCTTCATCCCATCTCGTCGTCACACTGTCTCCTACTACTGCCACACTGCTCACACACTTTACGCTACGGTGCTGCACTGCAAATCGTTGACACTCCTGGAAAACACTCGCACCCTGGCACTGTCACACTCCTCACGATATTGTCACATTCCTGGCACACTTGACACAGAGCCTGCTTGTGTACAGTCTCAACCCCAGTGGTACGACAGACGTTGTTGTCACCCGAGGTGTATTACACACCGCTGGTGCTGTCCACACCTCTGATGCACTCACACCACCACCACCACGCAGTTTGTTCCAACTCTGTTAAAGTCAGGGGCGCCACGCTGGCGAGATGTTAAATGCCTTGCCTGGTATGCAGGAGGTCGTGGGTTCGACCCTGTGACGCCTGCATATTTGGAGTCTGCGTGTCTCTCCCCGTGGTCGCGTGGATTTTTTGCTGTGGGTCCACCGCTTTTTCCCCCCTCCACATTCAGGAACGTGCGTTTCGAGTACGTTTTTGGCTGCAATGCATTTCCACACGATACGCCCAGTAAGTTGAGCTATCAGTTGTGGCCAGGTCGCTTCGGCAAACTCGCTATATCGCTCTAAATAGAGTTAATAGTTCTGTTGCAGCCTTACGCGTTCACTGGTGGTGTTCCCATTATCGACTTAACGTGCTCTCTCCCACTTGCATGTGGTGCAAACCGGCTCATGTGTTCATCCAGGGTCATTAAGTGGGTCTGTTTCCCACATTCGAGGAGCTTCTGGTGGTGGTTTGTGGCCTTGCGAAAAAAAAAACCACGCTCGCTACACGCTGCTTCGACATAGTCGAGAATACCGGTGGGGGGGGGGGGGGGTCTCATCCACATGGCAGTGTTTACATCCTTGTACGAGTGAAATCAACACCCAGGGCATCCGGGTGCGGCTCGCTGGTGCTGCGATGGCTTTAGTGATGCATTCGAATGCATTATATACACCTGGATTTGTCCCAAGAGTCAAAGGTGAAGCCCTGCAATTGCCTGCTCAGGCCACTGCTGGCGGACGGGTCTCCACTAGAGGGAGCTGTAGAAAGCGCCTCTGGTGGCTAATTTGGCCAACTCTTCAATGCCTTTTGTGGTGTCCTGATGTGTGTTATTGCGCACGCTGTGACGAATGCCGAACCACATTCTGTGTTCACTCATAAAACTGCACCATATTTTTTTGGGTGGGCCATTAGTTGAATTGGCTGGCTTTGCTCGCCAATATTATTGGGCAACATTTGATGCAGCCAAGTGAACTCTAGACCGGGTTTGACCTTGATGCGTCTGGTTAGCAGAGCGAGGCTTGTCACACAACATGGCACTGGATTAATTGTGCATACCGCAGTGTATTCAGTTTATTAAATACGTACTTTGACAAATAGTACACATTTAAGGGTGGGCGAGCTTCGTAGTTAAAGCAACATTTTCTGCAAGTGAAGAATCTAGTCCACATTTGGCAAATATTTGGCAGCGTCTTACAGCCTCTGCATCACAAAAACAATGAAAAGCGTGAACGCACCTCACCGGCGAACGTGCAGACAAACCTCCCTCCTACCTGTCACAGCAATACGTGGTAAAGGGCCGTCCATAAATGACGTCACGCACCTAGGGGGGGGGGGGTGAGAAATGTGACGTCACATAAAAATGCGCAACTTTAAATAAATATGGAATTATATTGTTGGTTCTTTCGGTAAAGTTACGTAGAAGGGAAATAATAAAATTATACAAATATAAAACAATAAAAAATTCTCACGACATTTCGACTGCAACACAAGCAATCATCATTAGGTGTGATATCCACAGCTTGCTATTTTTATTATTTTATTATTTTCCTTCTACGTGACTTGACCGAAAGAACCAAGAAGATGAATCCCTGCAGTCACGAAAGCTTGAAATAAAAAAATATAGAATTGTTATAACAACACTAATTGTTATAACAACACTAATTGTTATAACAACACTCCTACAACATCAACATCAGAGTGCAGCGCCACATTAAATACGCACTACAATGACAATAGTTTAAAGCGATTTGAAGCATGTTTTATTTTTTTGGGGGGAGGGGGGGCAGAGCTTTGTGACGTCATATTTGAGAGGGGTCTGACTTTTTGTGACGCCGTGTGACTAGGGGGGGGGGGGGGGTAAAAAATCGTCCAAAATCGCGTGACGTCATTTATGGACGGCCCCAAAACTGTGGTGCGACTCGCCAATGCGTGGCCAATGGCAATGGAAACTCCGTTTTCACTCCGCTCTCTTGTGCATTATTAAAATACAATAATCTTTACAGATCTTCTCACGTTGACGACCGTCACAAATCCTTCCTGACAAGTTCACCGCTCGTGCTCACGCGACCTTTGTGCATGCTTGCAGCTGTCATTATTTTTTCTGCAGATGTTCACGCGTTATAAGCATTTAACCTACCCTATCTGCTGCATCCTTCCCAATGAGTCGGTTGCGTGTGACGCTGTGTTCTACTTTACATTTTTTTGTGTTCTCACCTGTATCCTCTTGCGAAATAGGCACACATTGCCTCAATGGGTTCAACTTGTCTAAAAATAAAGGAACACTTTGGCAATGTATGTGTGCGTGTGGACTTGAATGCGTGCCGTGATTTTCCCTGTGCGCAAGTACGGAGCATATAACACTTTCCTGCGGAGGGAGCTGGTAGGAACGTTGGGTTGCTCGGTCAATGGCCAGGGTCAACGGCGGCGTGGTGTATTCCGCAAATATGGCCGACTGTGAGGGCGGGCACAAGCCTGGCGTGAGTAGGTTAAACGTTGAGTTTTATAAGGGCACCACGGGGTGACCATCCCCTCCCAACACAACCCCACCCCTCCCACCCCCCACCCAGCCCCACCCTCCCCACCTTCCACCCAGCCCCACCCTCCCCACCCTCCCCTTCCCACCCAGCCCCACCCTCCCCACCCAGCCCCACCCTCTTCCTCCCCACCCAGCCCCTCCCCACCCTCCCCTCCCCACCCTCCCCTCCCCACCCAGCCCCTCCCTCCCCACCCAGCCCCTCCTTGCACGACGGACGGACACAATAATCCCTTGTGGGCTGGTGTAACCAGGAGGTTCCTACCAGTATAAAAGTACTGTATATTGCTGAGCTATCAAGTGCATTTAACGCACGTTAATCATATTCGCGTATTTGCACACATGACATTGTTCAGTATGCAATATTGGTCAACAAGTTGTAGATGTGTGCCAACTAAGAACAGCTGTCAAGGTCACGAGGAGCAGCGATGCGTAGTCGTGGAGGTGTGTGTGTGCGCTCTAAATTAGCACCAACTGTTCTCCAAATGGACAGTGGAAACCTTGGTTCAAGGACTTCCAACACGGGCATTACAGTCGAGTGCCACACGTCAACATTCTCATCATCATCAGCCACAATCAATCTCCTGCTGGATGAAGACCTCGCAAAGCCGGTCATTATGCGTTTCCCGTTCATAGCCAACTTTTAACTTGTACTGTTTGCAAACAAAAAGAATTAAGGACTCGCACGAAAATGTGTGAACTACTCATCGTCATCACCAGTCACGATCGATCCACTGTCGGATGAAGGCCTCTCCAAGATGACCATCGTCCCTTTCGAGGGACTTGTCCTTCCCCAAACCAAACTCACATTTGTCACGTGTATGCTCATAAAACTAAAGTAATCGCTCGCCACAGGATGTGTTTCTGTGTATGTGAAGCGATGCTTTTACGCATGCATTGCATGACACTGCACTTTTTCCTGGCTCAAACATAACATTGAACGAGTTACCAAACCAGTCACACAGTCCTGTACAGTTGACTAGTTGAGTACAAAAGGCCTCTCTCTGCCTTTGTCAAATACAAAATGTGTAGGCGTTGGCAGTGGTTTTAAAGGGAGGTGATTTCAAAATTTACTATAATAACTTAAGCATCCAGTCGAATTTGCGTAATTTAAACGGTACATGTAGCACACAGAGCGTCCTTGAGGGTTTGCAAAATTTAATTTCCATTTCAAATATTGAAAATGTTTTAACTGCATCTTAATGCATTGAATTACAGCATAGTATTACAATTACCGTCACAACAGTTTAAATATGCATGCGTATAACATCATTGAGACATGTTGTGCAAACGCTAATATACATAAATATCCTATCGTAATTAAATTATTTGATGGCATTGCGTTAATAGTCCACTATAATTGCAACAGTACACACAATATCCATGGATTTCACGAGGCCACTTACTTATCTAACCGTTCATTCCCATTGTGCATCACAATTCCGTGCCTTGCGCCGTCAAATTAACTTAAAAGCTGCTGCGTTTGCTGTTGGGTGACCACTTATGAAGAATGATTTGGCTAAAACTCTGTTATGGGGCTGCCATGCATGTGGCAGGGTGACTGGTGGTGTGCGGGGAGCGGTAGTGCAGGGGTTAGACACCGAGTTCGCATCCCGACCACGGTCAAAACCAGTCACGCTTATCGAAACCGGTCCTGGGCCTCCTCTAGGTCGACTCAGCCTCAAATCAACACCTGGTGCGGTGTCTCACCATCGCCACTGGGGAGACAAAGGCGGCCGTGCGTGGTTGCTGGCCAACCCATCCACCCCTCTTGGTGCCACGTACCGGCCTTCATAGCTTGCTACTCGCTCACAGCACTTGCCCCCCCTAGCGGTATGAGGCTACACGGGGCGTCTTTGTCTTTGTGTGGTGGTGGTGGGGGGTGTGGTGGCGCGTGGGTGCCTGCGGCTCGGTGGTGCGACGCGATTGGCTGCGCGCGTGGGCACGAGCTCGGCTCGCCTCACTCTCTCCGCCAATGAGAAGCGAGCCCATTGTGTCGACGGACGTGGGACCATTGTGTGCTGTCACGTGCTTTGCATAATGACGATGCAGAGAGAGATGGATGAATATACGGCCCATGTGCCAATCAATTACACCACAGATTGTTCATGTGCCAAGTTAATTAAGTTAATCTTGGAAAAATGCTGAACGTTACATGGAGATCAGGGTCCCATTGGTGTATGGCAGGGGTGGGGAACATTTTTTTATGCCAAGGGCCATTTGGATTTTTACAACATCATTCGGGGGCCATACAAAATTATCAACTTAAAAAATGGCCCGTTATGTTTGGTCAAACATTTAATTAACTCGCTCCTAATGCGATGGCTGGAACTGCTTCTCTTTTGGTGAGGCGTGTGATGATGTTAGCTGGTATTGATGATGTTGCTGCTACTCGCAACTGCTTTTCCAGGTTTGCTCCGAGAGTTATTGAATTTAGAGTCCCGCCTGCAGTTGCCTTGGCAGGGCCAGACCCAAATGATTTCGCGGGCCGGACGTTCCCCACCCCTGGTGTTGTATAGGGCAGTCTTCAACTATTATTCACGCACGCTAGCTGGGCTCTCGCCCTGGTATATAAATAAGGGCCATTTTTGTACTAAACAATTGCCTATTTTGCATTGTTTTCCATCTCGAGCGGTGTTGGGGTTTTGTTATTTATGCTTGTGTGCCACTGCCTTCACATTCTCAACTGTGTGTTCATTGCATGTTAACTAGGAGCTGTGGTGTCGTGGTTATCATGGTGCGTCATAGACTCGGTGACCCAAGTTGGATTCCCACTTACGGCCAACATCAGTGACAAAAACTGAACAGAGTTCTTGGCCTCCCCTAGGTCGACTTTGTCTTAAACATGTACCTCGTGCGATGTGTAATCATCGGCACCTGGGGGAGACATGTGACTCTAGATTTGAAGTTTTCGTGACTGCAAGGAATAATGTATTAATTAAAAAGTTTAATTATTTATTTTATTTAAATTTTATTTTTCATCGACGTGACTTTACCGAAAGAACCAAAGAGTACGGAGACATGTGACTTTGGGAGACATGTGACTTTTGGAGACATGCGATTTGGCTTGTAGTGTGCCAGCCTTCAGATGCGCTCACTAACAGCACTTCACCCTACAGCCTGTTAAAACTATGAGCCTGTTAAAAGATATATGGTGAATATTTTGTTTCCCATTGTAACATCATTCGCGGGCGATACAAAATTATCAACTTAAAAAATAGCCCGTTATATTTGGTCAAACATTTAATTAACTCACCTCTAATGCGATGGCTGGAACTGCTTCTCTATGGGCGATGCGTGTGATGTTAGCTGGTATTGATGATGTTGCTACTCGCAGCTGCTTTTCCAGGTTTGCTCCTAGATTTATTGAATTTCGAGTCCCGCCTACGGTTGCCTTGGCAGGGCCAGACCCAAATGAATCCTTTGTGTGTAGTGTATCATATTTGTGCCTACGCTATACATACTGTATAAGCATACATGTCGATTTCATATTTATATGGGATTGGTACAGCGGTTTTTTTACAGCCCTTTGTTAGTCCACTGCTATAATAAGCCTTCCCACACTGTCAGTTATGGGGGTTGTTGTTTGACCATCCGTCACCACTTTGCTCAGTATGGGTTGGTAAGTGGGGATTGACATATACGAAATAATGAATACAAGGAAATTTCTATATTTACTACTTGACTCATTGGTTTGAAATAAAATCCAACCTTGTATGTAATTTTTCTTGCATTTACCACAAAATACTGTAAACGGAAATCGAGATATTTTTACAATAATATTACACGGTGGTACATTTCATACGAGGGTGCGCTATTTCGCGTTACCCTTTTGAAACGCATCATGTTGATTTGGCAAGCCAAAAAAAACCGACTTGTGTAGGCTCTTAGTAAATGAAAAGGGTGCTTTGTTGCCACCACCAGCCCAGGATTGCTTTGCCTGTCCTTGTGGAAATCCTGTAGATGCCACGACAGTGATTGACGGCGTAGACCACATTCGTATCCATCGACCTTTAGCCGGACTGACACCACAGCCTGGGTTTTCTGACAGTTGCCCTGACGTGTTGTCAGCTTTCACAGACCCAAATGTTATCTCTCCACCCTGTGATATAAATCAGACTGCCGATGTTATGCCAAATTGTACTGCCGATGTTTTATAGGTAATCCATTCGTCCGGAGAGCAAGTGCTCACGCCATATCAATTTTAATTATGTTATGTTGATGACTATGAAAGGTTGGCTTGATATGAATTGCATTAACGCACTGGGTATGAAATTAAATGTTGTTTTTTTGTTGTTGTTGCTGCTGCAGGTGGGATTGCCGGAGGAATTGAAATCTGCATCACATTTCCGACCGAATACGTGAAAACGCAGCTGCAGCTCGACGAAAAAGCAAACCCACCGCGCTACAAAGGCATTGGTGATTACGCGCTTTAAGATAATCTTGTTTTCGGGTACTGCGCAAAAGCCGTTTGAAATTGATTTACAAAAATGGCAGTGGTGCACTGGCCCATTTGGTAATAAGTATAACCCGTAAAAACAAAGTTTTTCACTATAAATCCTTTATATGCGTGGCAGCGAACTTAATATAAAGGATTTAAAAATATATTCGCCTGTGGAGGACGCGGAGATCGATCCCGCGACCTTTGGCATGGGAAGCGAGGGTGCTACCAACTGCGCTACTCCGCCACGGCCTGTGGAGGGGTTACGCTCTGGGCTCTTATACTGTGACGTTCAGCCAAAGCGATGAATGAGTTCTATTTGAATATATGTAAAATAAATTTTTTTGCCTAAAAAGTGTAAAATTTTGGGAATTTTTTTTCACGAACATTAATTGTCTGGCACAACGAGTCTGTGTGGAAAATGTCAGCTCGATTGGATCACGGGAAGTGGGTTAAGAAACGACCGAAAGATTTGCACGGTCGTAAGCAAGCAAGCACGCAAGCAAGCAAGCGAACTTAATATAGAGGATTTTAAAAAAACCCCACGTCACATTAATAATTTAATTAAAAGTGATTTCTTGCTCGAATGAGCAATGAGGTGATGCTCATCTCCTGATTAAAGCCTTTAGTCAGTGGTGTAAATTTCACATTCCTATCACGGGGATGAGTATATCCCAAGGACAACCATTGTTGACTTCCACACAAAGTGGTGTCAAGTTTATGAACTCGAGAGGGATGATGAGCAGAGTCAATCCAAACCACGATTTGAACTTGCATACGTCTCATTGTGGACTGCTCGCTCGACCACTTGGCTACCTGCTCTGATAGAGTGCTGCCTTATCATGACCACTTCTGGCTAATGGAAATATATATAGATAGTAGGCTTACATTCCATGCAACGGCCCTTTAGAGAAGAGAATAAGGTCATTGCCTGAAATGTCAGCCTACGACTGAATGATGAATGTTTTCACCGTATTTTTAATGATCCCAATATTGAGTTATTTTGTTGGCTATCAGAGTTTTAGTTGTATTTACATAGCACCTCAATGTTTCAGTCACGTGTTGTTTCGTCTGTTAATTATGCTTACCGAGGAATTTGTGTTCCCATTTTAGGCGATTGTGTTTCTCAGACAGTGCGGGATCATGGGATTAAAGGCCTCTACCGTGGCCTCAGCTCGCTGGTCTATGGCTCCATACCCAAGTCTGCGGTCAGGTATGCGAGATGACCACCATCCTCAGCCATGATTAATCCACTGTTGGATGAAGGCCTCACGAAGCCATCGCCATCACTCATGATCCAGTAATTTAACAATTTAATGGTTGCGAGCCACTAACTCTACCACTGAGTCACCTGGCTGGTTATTCCGAATGCAGAGAAACCTTTCACAACACTAGAATGGGATGATCGCCGATGGACGAGACTGGTGACAAGAATAGGAGCCAAATCAAGGAACCCCCAAGAGGTCAACCACGGCGGAGATGGAGCGACGTGATCAACTCGTGTACAGGAGTGATTGTGGATTTGTAAGAATTTTACAGATGCAGACAGTGTGTGGGGAGGCCTTCCATCCAGCAGTGGATTGTCAAGGGACCGGGCTTGTTGTACATCTACAGATACTGTATACAAATTGCATGCTGATGTTTACAGCCACTGAGCATAGGGGTTGCCGCAGGGGGCTGAGCATCCCCACGACTGAAGGCCGGGTCTTGTTTATTTAACATTGACCGTGCCGAGCCCTCCCCCTGAGCGTTGTGTATTTGTGTATGGCACACCCTTTAAATAAGGGCACACTACAGGGTTGTGTAATGTTTCCTTCGGCAGATAATGGAACAAGTGAGATGGAAAATATGAGACTGGCAATGCAAAGTAGCAGGCATGTAACGACGCATTAGATTCTTACGCTCCCAATTCGTGCATGAAATGCGCGCGTGATAATTGATTATCTACATTTTATGTAAATTATATGCAAATGAGGGTGTTGCATTTATATCGATGGAGCAGAAAATAAAAACTATACAAATGAGGCGAAACAATTAGAAATACAAAAGACGCAATAAAACCAAACGCAAAAAATATCGATTCGATTCAGCTTGACGATTCGTTGAGGCGGGGTGTAGTGCTGGTGAAATGTAACATGTGTACAAACTGGGACAGTACGAACAAAAACTAAACGTAGCCAAAGCTTCAAGAGATTCGTCACCCTGAATTGTGATGGTGTATTGAAACACATGAATCACTGCATGCCTAAGAGCTGTAGTTTTCTACAGCAGTGTGATTTCTTTTCTCGGAAGGCCTGGCAGTTTTGTCATGAAAGACATCCTTTATTTCTTCTTGCCTGTGGCGTTGGGCCATATACTGCATTTCAAAAGTCAAAACAATTAAAGTGGCTTCTCAGAATATAAAGATGCAGCTAAACTACAGATGCAATGAAAACGGTTGCTGTGAATTCTTCATTTTAAAGAAATTCTATTCTACGCATCTTTTGACTGTATTCTCTGGAAGCCCACTCATAGCCCAATGTAATGGAGCAATTGCATTGCATTGCATTGGCTGCGGCAGCAACGCGTGATAGTCGCTCTGTCACAAGAACTGTGCAATGGGTCCGAGATCCCCTCGCCTTAGGAGTGGATAATCAATTTAGCTGATGCTACTCCGCCTCCACATGGCTGCTTGTTGCGGTCTGCGTTGATTTATGAGAGGAGGAAACATTTTGCAATTGACTCGAGCAGGGCATTTAATCATGACGTAAATTTCTGCAAGCTTCAGCTGAAAACAGGCAGGTATATATTAAAAAAAATTGAAGCTATTTTATTTGACCTTCAACAGATATATTTTAGTTTGGCATGTTTTTCAAAAAAAGTGTCTATCCTTTTAATAAAGGTCGCAGAGAAGGGTCAAACATGAAAGGTAGAATTTTTTATAAAGAAAATAAGATTAGCTAGCTGCGGAAATGTCTCATATGTGTGGCTGTGTACACAGGATGCCACCGTGGCGAGATGTTAATTACCTCACCTGGTATATAGGCGGCGTGGATTCGATCCCGACCCTGACGCCTGTATTTTTGGAGTTTGCATGTTCTCTTCGTGGTCGTGAGGATTTTTATCCGGCTCCTCCGGTTTTCCCCTCCACATTTAGAATCAAACATGCGTTGAAAGTATTTGGCTGCACTAAATTTGCACGTGACAAGCCACTTTGTTGAGTTTTCATACATGGCCAGGTTGGGTCTGAGCTCCATAGCTCAGTGGGCCTTACCTGGTAAAATGAAAAATGGTTTCGTTTCAGAAAGACAAGCGCGCGTGCGGGGGCTCATCCTTGTTCTACTTCTGGTTCTGGAGTAAAAAAAATCAGACTACGAGACGCATGTTTCAATCAAACCATCAAATAAAATGAGTAAATCTGATATTCGTTACATTCTTATATCGCAAGGCTGTTTCACAGACGAGTATAGGCTTCCACTAGGGGGCGATGTTGTTTTGTAGTTTTACCCAATTTGGTAAGTCGCATGTAATTTTAGAAATTTGGACCGTGATGCCAGCCCACGTGGCCTACTCTTCTTCGAATAATATCACGGGATTTTTAATGTTCACTGTGAAGCAGACGGTGCATAGCGTATGAAAATACACACACAGTATTAACCGGGGCGGCCGCCACGCTGAACCATGAAACTCTGTTCATGGATATGCAGATGAATGATGGGACCAATCGTGGCTGCACATCGTTTTCCTCCCTTTGGACAGACACGGACTGAATCTTGCATTTTATCTTTGGACAATCACATACTGAACCTTGCAGTGTATCTTTGGGCAGACACGGAATGTAAATCTTGCATTGTGTGTCATCTACAGTCTCTCTTTGGTTTCCTCAATACGTTTGGATAATACATTGGAGCAAGGCTTGCGTGCTCTGGAAACATTTCAAGCGCCTATTTTTGTGCCCCCACAGGTTTGGAATGTTTGAGTTCCTTAGCAATCACATGCGGGATGACCAGGGCAAGCTGAACAGCACACGTGGTCTCCTGTGTGGGCTGGGAGCTGGCGTGGCCGAGGCTGTACTGGTTGTGTGCCCTATGGAGACCATCAAGGTATGGGCATGCACTCACGCAGCTGTGCATCGCCTCTCTTGTAGCTGCTTGTTACAAAACAGCACTCTTCCAAAAATAGCCTTTTCACAGGCTACATCCATCAGCCCTGTAGCATATTTGGCCAACAATAAAGTTTCGTCACAGTTGCAATCACTTGAAATACATTATTGTGATCATTATCATTCAGGTTCTTTGATGTTGCTGAATAATAGTTGTTGAATTTTTTCACTGCTTGAAGTGGACGGCACTTAATTTCGATGTTCTTTCGCTTTTCAGGTGAAGTTCATTCATGATCAGTGCTCTAGTAATCCCCAATACCGTGGCTTTTTCCATGGCGTGCGAGAGATCGTGCGGAAACAGGGTAATGTGTGTTTTTTTTTTAATTGCACTCTTATAATTATTATGATTGGAGCATTTGGTGCTCACGCCATTCTTATAGTACACGGTGATTACGGAAGTGCTGTTTCACAGACGGTGATAGTATGCCAGGGGGGGTGATATTATGATGTGGTTTCATCCAATTTGTTAAATTGGATTATGACTCTGGCACACATGACCTACACTTTTTTTTCTTCCAATAACGTCACGGATTCTTTGAATGTCTACTGTGAAGCAGGTGACGCATGTTTATTTTAGCGTCACGGTGGAAAGATGTTAACTACCTCGCCTGGTATGCAGGAGGTTGTGGGTTTGATCCCGAGCCTGATGCCTGTATATTTGGAGTTTGCATGTTCTCCCCGTGGTCGTGTGGATTTTTCTTCGGGTCCTCCGGTTTTTCCTTCTACATTTGGAATTAAACATGCATTTCGAGTATTTGGCTGCTATACATTTCCACATGATAAGCCACTTCGTTGAGCTATCATTTGTGGACAGGTCGCTTCTGAAAAAGAGCTGTACAGTTCAGTGGGCTTTACCTGGTAAAATAAAAGGAAAAAAAAATTCATAGTTTTATTTGGTTAATACATCCACAGTAATAACCAGGGTGGCCAACAGCTTTGAACCATGAACCCTTGCAACACCAAGTTAAACCCACTACCGCTCGGCCATGTCACAGTGCTTTTGGACTCTATTATAATGAACGTAGCGTTAACCGTAATCGTTAAGAGTAATAACCTTCACGTTCATTGTACAGCAGCGTATTAAGTCCAAATGTGTTGTTCCAATTCAGGAATAAAAGGAACGTACCAAGGTCTCACTGCCACCGTGCTCAAGCAAGGCTCAAACCAGGCCATCCGATTTTACGTCATGACGTCACTCAGGAACTGGTATAAAGGTACTGTTCGTATTGTTTTTATGTGTATAATATGTTGAATGCCTTTGTTTCTTAAGCTAATTATTTATAAAAAAAAAATTCTAACTGTACCAACTGCACTATCAGCATCATGACATTGGAAGAAAAATACATTCAGATATCTTGAAAAGCAGTGCATTACCTAATTTTTAAAATAATGCCCCGTGGAAATAGACATTACAGAACTATTCCTGCGAGCCCTTCAAGGGATCTATTTTATCCACACGCCAGGGGTGCATCTTTCCGCAGAGAAATTTTAACGGCATGGGCTGTCAAAATTAACATTTAAACATGATGTTTTTTCCAAAGTTCAGTCTAATAAAATGAAGAGCTAAATTTAATTCGATTGAATGTTTGTGTCTTGTCGTTGGTAACATCACTGAGACCATCAATAAGAAACCATCTGCCAGACCCTTGATATTAATTAATCGGAAGGCAAGGCCACTTTTTCCAAGATCGATGGCTTTAAACCTTGTTCTAGGAGACCAAGTGACAAGTTTTCAAGTTTTTCTTGGCTCTGAGTGATGAATCTGGTTCAGCCATCTCATCCATACGCTGTAGAGAATCGCAACCGAGCGAGTGAGCGACATGATTTCTAGTGATCTTCTAGAAGGGATACAATGCAAAAAATTGGCATGAATACAGCCAAGTCAATGCTGATAGTAACTCGAAAATGTAGGTAATTATCAAAATAGATGTTTTGGAGGTCATGTACTGTTCGATGAATCCATTTGTAACTGTTGTAGAGCAGTTTATTTCCCTGTGCTAGTTTGTTGTCCTTCCCCGCACCTCCGATTAACATGATTAGCTACGTACGGTGCGAAAGAAATTCAACACGCATGCATACATACATACATGCTCAACCACACATTACCACCTGGGTATTAGTCCAGAGTTCTCAATAATACTGGCTTGGCGCCGTCACGCCCGAGCCACCGAGCCACTTTCCAGCTTCATATTTTCCCCCAATGAACGCATCCCATACGACTTCACGTTTGTGTTTGTTATTGCCCGACATTTCACGCAGGCGACAACCCCAACAAGGAGATCAACCCCATTGTTACCGGCGCATTTGGTGCCACTGCCGGGGCCGCCAGCGTCTTCGGCAACACGCCACTCGATGTCATCAAGACTCGCATGCAGGTCGGGTTTCAGAATTAATAAGTATAACCCGTAAAAACAAAGTTTTTCACTCTAAATCCTTTATATGCGTGGTGGCTAGAGTCCTCTCGTCCTCTGGCTTGAGATGGCTGCCACCTATGGGTCAGATGATTGTCTGCAGTATTAAACAATTGGTAATTAAATATTTAATTTGTTTTCCCTAAACAGTGTAAAATTTTGGAAAAAAATTTTCACGAACATTAATTGTCTCGCACAACGAGTCTGTGTGCAAAATGTCAGCTCGATTGGATCACGGGAAGTGGGTTAAAAAACGACCGAAAGGTTTGCACGGTCGTAAGCAAGCAAGCAAGCACGCAAGCAAGCAAGCGAACTTAATATAAAGGATTTAAAAAGAAATTGTGTATTCTGTTGATGGTTTCCCACAACAATACAGAAGTAAACAGAATGGGAATACACGTTTGCTGAATGCACGTGTTGAATCGCGGTGTTTTTCAGGTGTGATTTATGAAAATAGGAGGAAAGAGGGAAAATGGTAAGAGGAAGGAGAGGACGGAACATTTTGGAGAGAAAAGTGGAAAAAATTGAAGTCACGTAATGGGGCAATACGTCAGATCAGAAGAGAATCAACAAAGAGAACAACATTTCCCTGTGTGCCATTAATGAGCCTTGCGACAGAGCCCCTAACAGAACAGTTTGTTCCGACGTCACGATATGGGCCTGCCGAATTTTCATATTTCAGAATTTGGAACGACGCATCCAGATTTTATCTTCCCATGGTATTTAAACGCGTGCATCACTTCTGTTGTTTTTGTTTTCGTTCTAGGGACTGCAAGCTCACAAATACAGAAGCACGTACGACTGTGCTTACCAGATCTTCAAGTACGAAGGTCCCAGGGCGTAAGTTTTACCGTGCCACCCTCGGATTATTACGCACGCTCACATTTAGAAGTGAGAAGATATGATGCTGCCTTTTTATAATGGTCAGCAAGCTGAACTTGCAATCCAGAGGTCGCATGTTCGATCTCCTGGTGCCGCAGTTGAAACAATGGCCACGCTTCTTCAGTTCCCCTTTGTCCAACCTGCGTTTATAAATGGGTACACCAACGATATTTATAATTCATAATCAACGTTTTTGGGTTTAGATTGTGTTATTTATAAATGTGTTGTAACCCTCCACCACCCGACACGGCCAATCAGTAAAAAAGTGTCACGTTGACAAAAAACAAATTAGTTCACTGCTTTAGCCCACCGGTGTGTTGAAGCGTGAAACCACAACATTTACAATTTGAGTACGACGTTTCGCTGGTAATTGCATCCAGCATCATCGGGCAATTCGCCAGAATGGTTAAAGCAGTGAACTAATTGTCTTTTGTCAACGTGACACATTTTTTTACTGATTGTCCGTGTCGGGTGGTGGAGGGTTACGACACATTTATAAATAACGCGATCTAAACCCAAAAACGTTGATTATGAATAATATTGGTCGCGAAAGCCCTACGTGATATTTATAATTGTTTCACGAGCACATTTCGTCTGCGACCTGGATTACACTGGTCAACACACTTTTTCTGGAACAAGGTATTCCAACGGTTTTAAGGTAATTTTGGGGTGCTGATTCCAAATCTGGCATCAGTTTTTGTCTATCACATCAGTTTTTTGAGATATCAAATATTGCATTTTCAATAAAAACTGCAGAAGAAAAATATTAAATAAATGTGGATATCTACATAAATTGATATTATAAACACACTATCCTAAAAATACAGCACCATATTTTAACACTAAAGCAGTCACTGACTCGCAACAACTTGCAATCATAAGTGACAGAGTTAATTTCGGGTAAAATCAATGAAAATTGGGTATGCCGATAGCATAAAAATCGCGCGTGGTTACACCCATGGAAAAGAGAAATCCAGAGTTAATTGCATATAGCGTATTAAGTGCCAAGGATGTTACATACATTTTGAGATTGTGAACAGAACGGTGGGGGGGGAGCTGTCACCTTAAGATGTGAAAATGAGTTTCTCTCTTTTTTTGTGAAGGTTTTTCAAAGGCACGGTGCCGCGTTTGGGCCGCGTCTGTCTCGATGTCGCGATCGTCTTCATCATCTACGAGGAGGTGGTGAAAGCTCTCAACAAGGTGTGGAAGACCGATTAGGAAGCCTTTCAAGGTCCGCTTCGGGGACGAGCCTTCTTGAGGACCACGTGGCGATTCCTGTCGGGGACATTTGAAACGTATTACGAGTTGTGTAAATGTCCGTATGTTTACACAAGATAGGATACATGACTTATCCGAGTGGCTTCTATGTCGTCAACTGCCAGACATGGGTACAGCTGTTTATTTCACTTTGATTCGACTTGCACTTTCAAGACACACCATGCTATTGTTATCCCCCACTCTTTGGGTTTGTATAATTCTATTGGACCCATGGGAAGAAAAATAATTAGCTGTGCATTTGGAAAGAAAACTGAAGAATATTATGAATGCGTAGGTCTGGAAGGACAAGTTGAAGTGTCATCAAAGTGATATTGTACTAAGAGCCCTCTCCTGGCCTTTTTGAGTAACAATATTTAAAGAGTGAATTGCACTTGTGATGTGCATTTGCCAAGCTTCATAACATACCGTGATGTAATTTTTACTGGACATATTGTACCAATGATATTTTTGTTGACACTTGAAACAAAAAAACATGTCATTTTTTTTTTGAACTAAACAAAATAAGATTGTTTACCAATTAGGTTTTTACATCGTTTTGAATATTACGTTTTTTTGTGTTTGGATGAGTAACTGATAACGTGTCTTGTTTTAAACATGTTTGTTTCAATATGACCTTTGAATTAAGGGCAGACAACGCAATGTTAATTTAAGAACAGATAAATATGCAATTAATACGTTCAGAAGGAACCGCAATTGCATACATATCTGCAATCAATATGGTCTTCAAACAATTTAACATCAACTTTTTTTTTTTACATTTCATATCTGGGTTAGTCATGCCATTTCATTATACATCAAGACAATTGCCTCCCCTTTGCTGTCAAGCATGTGGAATTTCTTTGACAAGGGATGATGGTGTCCTTAAAGAAAACCACAACATGTTATTGTGCAGAAAGACGGCTTTTGTTGAGAGTAGGCAGATTAAGTGGAAGAAAAAAAAGTGATTTATCAACTTCATTTGTGCAGCCATTTGCGGGGAGATGATGCAATGAATAGATAAATAAAAGGTCCAATGAAGCTAACGTGGGTAATCTTACAAAACAAAGCCGGTGATTATCAACTTTTTCCAGGACACCCCTCAGATATAGGGAGGAAATAGTACCCTTGACGTCATAGCCATATTACAATGAAGGACATTATTTCGACATTAATCGGTATGTTAACATAATATCGGCTTTTTTTGGGGTTAATTTGCGTAAATATATAAATGTGTCGTTAAACCCGCAACCACCCGATACAGCCAATTCGTAAGGTTTGTCACGTAAACAGAACGTGCCCAATTCGTTATTAGTACAGCACACCGGTGTGTTGGAGGGCAAATCTACAGCATTTACAATCTGGGTACGATATTTCACCAGTAATTACAATAAGCTTCATCAGGCGACAGCCAGATTTGTGGAGAAATCCTCCTGTTTCGTTCCTTAAATAGAGGGATAGATGTGATGACTTCGGGTGGTGGCGGGTTTAACGACACATTTATATTTACGCAATCTAACCTAAAAAAACTAAATTATAAATTATATTGGTTGCGAAAGCCTACATGATATGTTAACAGTACCGTATTTTGATGTTGGGGTTAAAATTGAAAGCATTAACTTTAAATAATACAGTTCTGTATTCAAAGTCCTAAGTTGGAAGATAATCTGATGTTCAAAATCGTTAAGTAAAGAAAAAAACATTGCTTACCCGTTCACATGTCGTGAAACTCCAAAGTGCACCTGCATTTAAATGTAGAAAAAAAATGACCGGGTCATCTTTTTAAATGTGTTAAGTCACCAAAAGTGATCTCAGATAGTTTGAATATGCTATGTGTCTAAGCTATGGGTAAAACTGATCAATAATGATAATACTAATAATGCTTAATGAGCATTCAGAGGGCTCATGCAATGAGCATGGTTGTAGGCTGGCTGCCATCAGAAAAGCCATCGTGTGCTGTATAATGAAACTGGGTGTTTTTAAATGAATTACTCCATCATTGCGTAGTACTGGTGCCATGTTTGTGCTTGTAATGGGGGTGCCTTAATTGTTAGTGAAGAAACATTTTACTACATTGCCAGATTGTTTGCCGATTATTGTACTGGTTTGCTGTTTATTGTACCGGATATTGCTCGGACTAAACTGTTTACACTTCACCAAAGTCGCAAATGGGGTAGTGGTTGTTGTGTGCAGTATTTTACGTGTCGCAAAGAGTATTGCATATACGTTGGGCTCGCCAGTAGTTTTATTTATGAAACTCAACAAACTTTGATTTTAAGAATCGAAAGAATAAATCTGATTACTGCAGTGTGTGATGCTGTGCATTGGTTTGTAATCGCAAAAAAACGGCAAATGGTTGGAGTAACAACATTTTCACAAAAATGACTGCTTTATTAAGCCACTGGTGGATGAAGGCTTTCCAACTTAACCACTCCGGTAACTAAGTTATAATCATAAAAGACAAATGATGGGAATAATAAGTTTAAAAAATTAGATTGCTTTGTAAATCCATTGTTGGATGAAGGCCTTCCATCGCTATATTGCTCGTGGGTGGTGTGGCCATACTTCGGTCATGCTGACGAGTACGTGTTGGATGGATATCACTCACCGATGATGTAGACCGTGTCTGGAAATTGAACTTCATCGTGCAGTGAGCTAATTGCCGTCACCAAATTCCCTCGAGCAACTGACAGCATTACTGAGTAGAGAAGAGAAAAAAACCTCATGGGGCCAAAGTGCTACGATTACAAAGCCTGTGAAATGTACACGTGCAACGACTCCGATGCCTCGTTTCAAAACCAAAAAATTGTATCGCATATTTATTAGCCGTTTAATACATTTGTGTCTCGGTGTTTGTAAAGAAAAAAAAAACACAAGGATATTCAAAGTAGTGGTGGTCTTCTGAAAAAAAATCCATCAGGAAAAATCACTGATATGATGTGCAAGGCCATTAAAGGTCTGCTCGCCAAAATAAGGTATCAAATTGTTGCTTCGGGTTCACTTCAGACATAAAATGTCACGTTAATACAAAACGTTTTTTTTAAACTGTCGGATGAAAAAATAAATCTGTTTCTGTCGTCTGACCGAGAAATACTACGTTGATATTTACGAAACTCCAGCCTGCCCTTTAAGGCCAATGCTTATCTTTTGCAAATTTCAATATCTCCAGAATGCCAATTGACGAAAACATCAAGATCTTTTTCTCTCGGATACAATAACACGAAAAAAAAAACCCTCGTGTCACTAAACATTATTACTTTGTTGTCCAAAAATGTTCATGCTCCTCGTTCCCCACTGCGTTTTAAGGTTGTGCCGCGTGTTGTTTAGCATCGACTCGGCCTCAAATGAGTACCTGGTGCGGTGTGTAAACATCGCCACTGGGGAGACAAAGGCGGCCGGGCGTGGTGCTGGCCACCCACCCCCTCCGTGTGCCGTTCCGGCCTTCGTAGGTGCTACTCGCTAACAGCACTCGCCCCTGCAGTCTGTTGCACGCTATACGGGGTGGGGATCTTTGTGAACATAGAGCCCCAAGCGTGACCTGTTAAACGCATTCCTGCGGAGGGAGCTGGTAGGGACGTTGGGTTGCTCGGTCAATGGCCAGGGTCAACGGCGGCGTGGTGTATTCCGCAAATATGCCCTACTGTGAGGGCGGGCACAAGCCGCCGGCATGAGTAGGTTAAACGTTGAGTTTTATAAGGGCACCACGGAGTGACCAGCCCCTCCCCACCCAGCCCCACCCCTCCCACCCTCCACTCAGCCCCACCCCACCCAGCCCCTCCCCACCCTCCCATCCCCACCCAGCCAAACCCCCCCACCCAGCCCCTCCCTTCCCATCCAACCCCTCCCCACCCAGCCCCTCCCTGCACGACGGACGGACGGACACAATAATCCCCTGTGGGCTGGTGTAACCAAGAGGTTCCTACCAGTAATATATTCCATTGTCGGGGATTCGGAAGGCCAATGGTGTCGTGTTTAACATTGTCATTCATAACTTGATTGTATGCCTTCATGAATCTGATTAAATAACAAGACTCAGTGTTACGTCTTATTTAGTTCTTCAAATCACACCCTGGATCCAAAAACAATAATTAGCACTCACTACTCTCTGCTTTGGTTAAGTTAGGTTTCTCTCTCTCGAATATATGTATATTGACAGATGTACATACATGTAGGATCTAACCATTCATTGTTTCACTTTAAATGTTCACTGACCTAAAAAGGATTACTAGAGTTATTAAATGCATAAAATTATGTTTGGTAACATGTAAATGCAAATATCTTTAATAATTATGGTAGAAGCTGTGTTTGAAAGTCATGCGCATTGCATTATGGGTAAAACCAAATACGTTATTTTGTGATAATTGGTTTTTTACCCTTCTATCTGGCAACAAAACTGACACCTTTTTTTTTTACAAGGAGTCATGTTTGCATAGACCACAATACCTGCAGCCATATTGCAAGCAAAAAACATAACTCTGATAATGTATGCACTGTCCTTGAAGTTGATTGGTCCACACCCGAGACAGCTTTCCTTAGAGCCTAGTCTCACATGGGTTGGACCAGATGACGCCAAAAGGCGCACAACTCAAAGGCAATGCACCATCAGAGTATGAGAGCTCGGGGTAAGCATTTACACCATTGGAACCTCATTTGCCAGTAAAAAATATGATCATTGGTTTTTTACCCTTCTATCTGGCAACACAACTGACACCTTTTTTATTTTGTCTTCCCACATACATATTATTTAGTTATCCTATTGGCTTTCCAGTCCAATATTATCTCGCAGCATTAACATAAGCAAGCAAAGTCTTTTCTGGTTTCGAACCTCTGGGTCTCATCAACAGTCAACTTTGCCACTCAAATGCCGATTAATTATCAGATGTGATTGGCAAGTATATTCCTTATAAAACATTGGACCCCGTACAATGCAAACGCAATTTCATACAGTATATGCTTTACAATATAACAGTTACATGTGAATAGAGGCTGTAAATGTGTGTGGGATGAATGCCCCTTTTTACCAGTTTCATTACAACTGTGGACTTTGATCTCGTCTTGTCGAGACAAATAATCCATTCGCAACTCTCAAAATAGAAGTGCGACCGCGTTTGTTATCGTAAGATCGTTAGAAGAAAGTGTTCACAGAACTCGAGATCCCTTCAAGCGCTCTTCTTATTCTACACGCGAGGGGGCGCCCTTCCCCATGGTTGCTGCATGACTAGTAAATCTGATACGTTTAATAAAAAAAACATTTTAATTTTAATTCTCAGAGTTGGACTTTAGCCAAATTATGTCGAAAATCCGATTTAATATTACGGGGTTTTCTTGCAATCATTGGTGCCTGGGCTTAGGCAATGAATTCAGTACGACACCTGATGGGAATTATAATACAACAAAATCACAGCGCTGTGTCAGGCGTTTCAGCACCGTGTTGACTGTATGGTTTGTTTGAGCATGCTTCACCTACGCTGATAAGTATGGTTGTAATAGCAAAATACATTATTGAAATAATAAAACCATTGCAGTGCTGATATATTCAATTTTCATATTTGGACCTTAGTCAAAACATTGACATCGAATTTGTACGTTGAACTTCTTTCGCACCGCACATAGCCAACCATGCTAATATGATGGGTGTTTTTATGCACGCATTGGTGACCGAGCTGACACTATTCATTGTCTAAACAAATCGAGAATGCATTTTAAATGATGGGTGGCTAAACCCTGGATCTGAATCCAGGTTCTCATCGGTGCTGGCAGAACACAAAACATTATTATTTTAAAATCTCTGAATGATCTTATCAGCGGTCAACAACAGAAGAAAACCTTGTAGCAATTTTATTTTAATCCTATCGGTATGCATACATCTTAGACCGTAAATACTGCAGAATAAATATATGTTCAGAAATACATGTTGGTGCATATAATTTGAATGCATCAATCTAAAAAAAACATCACCATCCATGTAGCTCCAGATGAGGTCTGTACAAATGTGGTGGCTTGCTAAAATTGGGTTTAAATTAACACCTCTGCTCGATGCATACAAGTGAATATTGGTAGGGGGTGCTTTATCAGTTCCTGGGATGAATGGCGTTAACGAGCGAAGGCTTAGATGGGTCTCGGAGTGGAAATTAAACATCTTGCAGGCCGGGTGGCTCAGAGGTCAGAGCGTTGAGCTGTTATCACTGAGATCCTGGGTTCGAAATCGGGCAGTCACCTTTCATTAAAATGGGGTTCTTCATGAGTTGATGGTCTCAAGCAACGTGCTGCTCTCTGCTTGAACGAATCTGAGGTTGTGGCTCTGTGATATCCACTTACGTGCGCCATCCTCTAACATGAAGGGGTTCATTGGCCTCCGAGAGATGGATACTTCATCTCATTCTAGATTTGAAGCTTTCGTGACTGAAAGGATTCATATTCTTAGTTTTTTTCGGTAAAGTCACGTAGGAAAAAACATTTAAAAGTAAAATAAAAAAAAATAAAAATCACGACGTTTCGTCTTCAGGTGGTACCGTCACAGCCACGACAGCTGTATCAAGTAAATGAGAGATTGTAAACGTCGTGATTTTTATTTTTTATTTTATTTTACTTTTTTATGTTTTTACCTACGTGACTTTACCGAATAAACCTAAGAATACTTCATCTCATGTATGTATAATTTGTGATATGACGTGTCGTTCGCACAATTGGGATAACATCGGGTACAGATTAAAATAAACTAAATGAAACATCAAAATTGGGCACATTTATGTTGTGTATTTTTAATCAACATCTTTTAATTCACCTTCATGAGGACAATTAATATTTTACACGTGTAGTCCATAGGCTATATAAAAGCCATGTAGAAAAGCCACGTGTTGCTTATGGCAAGGCATGAAATGTCAATAACAACTACATCAGTAATATATTTTTACCCTTTCAACTAGTACAAAAACTGACACCATTATATAAGGCATCATGTTTGCAATAACCACAACATGAGCAGTTAAAATGCAAACAAAAAGAAACAACTCTGATGATGATGATGATATGCACTGTCCTTGAAGTTGATTGGTCCAATCAACAGCGCACTATCAGTGTGGACCAATCAACTTCAAGGACAGTGCATATCATCATCATCAGAGTTGTTTCTTTTTGTTTGCATTTTGACTGCTTGTGTTGTGGTTATTGCAAACATGATGCATTGTATAAAGGTGTCAGTTTTTGTACCAGTTGAAAGGGTAAAGACCTATTACTATATTTTGCCACTGGTAAAGGAGGTCTCATAGTCTAACAGCTACGTCCTCTGTTGAAGCATGCTGTGGGCATTGTTGATAGAACCCCATTTAGTCGGGTCCTGTAGCCCTCAAGGGATCCTCCGACTACCACGATATAATTTAATTCAAATCACAGCATGGGTCCGTTACGCTTGGCTCCACCGAAGGGGTTCGGATTTCTTGTGCGATGGGAAGCCCCGACAACGGTTTGGGTGAACGAAGGCCAATTGGCTTCGCGATGCAGAGCTACACAAATACTCGATTCGACTGGAGAAAAAAATAGAAACGACGCGTCACTTGTAAATAAATTGGAGCCACCTGCGTATTTTGTCATCCCCATTTGCACTCGCCGCATGCAATTTGGGACACGAGACGGGATTTAATTGGATGGAAAATACGTGGAGAGGGGGGGGGGGCGCAGGGGGGAGAAATTGGACACGCGCAGATCGCGGCTCTGGAAACGCCACAATAGAAAATCGGGGTGGGGGTTGGGGGGAACCAATCACACACTACCCCTAACCAACAAGCCAGCCGCTCGTAAAAGCCCAAACAACGAATCAACTAGCCATGATTACGATCCTTAACCATAACTAAATGGGGGTGGGGAACCCACTGACCACTCGAACTGGTTGGTTGTGTTTTTGGCTCGCCATCGAATCAAGATGATCATCACATCGCACGTTTTCGCGGCCGTCTGGAACGTTCTTCCGATATCAGGAAGGCACTTTTAAATCCAGATTAAAAACTAATTTCTGTAGAACCGATGTTTGTATTTAGTTCGCTGTCTTTACCCCCGCACCTCCGATTCACGCGGTGGACTACGTACGGTGCGAAAGAAGTTCAACATACACACACACACATACTAGCCCAAACCCCAACCGGTTATTCAACCGACCACGAGTACGAGCCCTTAACCGAACGAGTCAATTGGCTACCATCCTTTCCCCCAATAGTAACAAACTCGCCAACCGAGCACATACCCCTACCGCACAAACCAACCACCCTGTCACTGACCATAGCCCACTCGCCACCATCCCTTACTCTGAATCCCCCTAAACCCTATCCCCCCCCCTCTCCCTCCACATATTCCTTTCAACCAGGGGTGGTTTCTTCATAAGGGCGATTGGGCGACGCACCACCAATGTCATTCATCCACAGAGTCACGCTAGCCGTCACTGTGCCTCTGGATATAGTCCAATCAGCGTCATGTCACGTTCTGTGGAGTACCGCCTCTTTTTGGGCGATTTCACTCTGGCTGAGAATCGCCCCGAGTGGCCCCATAGACTTACATTCAAAGATGTTTTTTTTTCGAACGGCGGGCGCTCCAATGCATTCTCTATGGCTTCCGGGAGGGCTCGCCCTAACGTGCTTACGTCATCATACGTGCTAACGTCATCATACGTAAGCACGTTTCATCCAACAATATAATTTATCGCCACCTAGTGGAATCTTTAATAAAATAAACTTGAGTGGTTTGTTTTAATAGTGAGTATAGAAACAAACAAGATGTATTGTCATTAATATTAAAGAAGTGAAGTTGCCTTTACATGCTTAAGCTGTTAATTTATCCATTGCATGGGTGGACCTTATCCTTATCAATCATCCAGACATTTGCCCCCCCTGAGAGATTTTGCAGGAGCCGCCACTGCTTTCAACACGACCCCTTTTCACGTTTTATTCGTCTTCCACGCTCACGGTCGTCACAGCACCTGACGGGGGTCGCAAGTCGGCACGAGGTCGCAGTGCGCACTGGGACACGCGATGCTCACGGCCCACGACTTCACGTGACACAGCTCGGTGGACACGTGACCTACTCGAGAGCATTTTCTTAATGTCACGCAACACAACAAACAACCGTCATTCGCCACTAAGTGGCGGTGACGTCACCACGACGCTTGTGCCAGGCTATGTGCACCTTGAGGCCACGTGAAGTGTCGAACGCCCGCTGGAAGGAGGTCGCGGGGCAGACCCAGGTGCCACGGGTCGACTGACTGAGATGACCGAGATGACTGGCTGATGCACCACCTGTGCCCCCAACTGTGCCAACTTGCTGCGCTTTAGCCAAACAACAAAACAACAACAACCGCCATTCGCCACTAAGTGGCGGGGACGTCACCACGACGCTTGTTTCAGGCTATGTGCACCTTGAGGCCACGTGAAGTGTCGAACGCCCGCTGGCAGGAGGTCACGGGGCAGACCCAGGTGCCACGGGTCGACTGACCGAGATGACCGAGATGACTGGCTGATGCACCACCTGTGCCCCCTACAACAAAATACACATTTGTGTCTCCGACGACAAGCATCGTAGCCGCACTGGTCTGCTACTCGAAGGGAAATATTCTCAACGTGCCAGCAACGCGTTTCTAATTTTAGGCAATGCAGGTTTCCCCTACCCCTGCTGTGGGCTCCACAGTTGCTGGCATTGAGCAACTTCGCTTCTTTGTTACTAAACACAATCCAGCACCCCCCACCCCCCATTCAGGTGAAAGGGAATGGGAGTTTTGTGGTATGGACGACTACAGCCTGCGCAGGCTCGCGATTGCGAAACGCAGAGAGACGCCAATGCTGCGTTTTACATTTTGCTGTTTGTTTGAACACGGCTCAGTGTGTTCTTTACCAAATATTGAAGTGTACTACCCTACCCGGATTCTCAGGATTATAAGACATTGTTTTTTCAAACAAAACGTTAGGGGCGTGACTTGTAATCAGGTTGTACCTGTGTGTGTGGTAATGATGAAAAAGGAGTTGGTTGGAAAACAGATGAGGACGAATTCCGTTATGCTATGCTATACGTCCTTATAAAAATAAGTATTCCAGTCGTGAACAGAATAACAGATTCACACATCCGTTACGTTGTGTTGAGTAAACGGATTGAAAGTTTGTTTTTATTTTGTCAAAATAAGTTGCGCGCGTGACAGATTTCACCCAAGAATAGTGATTAATTATTTCATGAGGCCTCCTTTTCCAGTACCAAAATATATTAAATAGGGGTTTTCCCCATTTTTCTGGCGACAAGGAATACATGATTCCTTGCAAAAGGTTTCCGTTTAGTCGCCAGAAAAAATGAGAAAACCCCTATTATTATATTTGATTAATTATTTTCAAGGCACTCAAATACAGTACATCTTAACCGATACCGCAGCCTGCACCCATTTGGCTCCCAATCGTTAAAAAAATTACATGAATCATGTTAATTCATACATAGCTTTGATGAAACAAAGTAGCCGTGTACTTACGTGCCCGTGCTCAATTTGTATTTTCGACGATTTGCCTTCTAAAAAAAAATATCTGCCTGTGTCTCGTACCACCCAGAAAGGGGGCATCTCGCACCCCCAGGGGATGGCGTGCACCCCAGGTGAAGAGCCCCCCACTGGTCGAGCGAAAGAACTTCGTGGAAACCCGCGGAGAAAACGACGACAGAGACGCAATTGCGTGCCTTTGCACGACGGCAGGTTATTAACGTGATCTGGTTAACCGGGCAATTTTCATTCGAACAATTTGCCGTAGTTAATCACCTGAATTGGAAACCCATTGATTCGCAAGCACGCGACGCCGCTCGCGGCTGTGAATGATAAACATACTCGTGTCTTGGAGGCTAACGATGACGAGTCACGCAATTTGATCGAGTAACACGGCAAATTAATGCGATTGAGTCGTCTCCATTTTATTGGGAACCCTAGAACGTGAATTGTTGCATTGCCCCATTCCCCCATGGCAAGCCCCCCCCCCCACTCTCCCCATCCCCCAGGGCAAGCCCCCCCCTATTCCCACCCCACTCCTACCCCCAAGAAAAGCCCCCCGCCCCCCCTATCCCAACTCCCCAGGGCAAGCAGCCCCCACACACCCCACACTTCCCAGGGCGTGGTTTCCTATGCCTTTGTTTAATTACACGGTGGGGTGAGCCCATCCACTTCACTGCGCACGCACGCGGGTTTCGAGAACACGCGCGCGCGCGCAGTAATTATGTACACGGCTTGGCCTCCCACCTCGCGAGCCACCTTTGCTCACTCAGACACCCACCCACCCACCGCACTCTCTCCTCGGGCCAATGTGCTCAGTTGCTCTGCTGGAACATGTATACCGTGGGACAACCACGGCAAGAACAAACTACTTCAGCAGTTCCTGTGGTTGTCCCACCTGATGACGATCGCTTGTGTTGCGGTCGAAACGTCGTGATCTATTATTTTTCTACCTACGTGACTTTACCGAAAGAACCAAAGAGTATGGATTTCTGCAGTCACGAAAGCTTCAAATCAACATGGACACCGTTGCGTAGATTCGCATCCTCCGCCCGCCCATCTATTACGAACTTCATCCAAACGCAAGCCACTCAGTGCACCGCTCATTCTCTCCCGCAGAGGCAATGTGGTCCAGTGGTCCATCGAGAACCATATATAATTATATAGCGGATTAGCATACTCCACCCACGCAGCCCCTCCCCACCGCTTTAAAGGGTCTGATTTGGTTCAAACCACTACACAAGACCATCACCGTGGGTGACGACGATAGGACCTGGGCCGACCCTCGCTCAGTCATTGAATCATCATCATCATCATCAGCACTATCATCATCAACAACAACATCATCATCAGCAGCACCATCGTTATCAAGGGAAAGGCGAACACACGTGTTGCCTCCATTCCCACGTCAGCTCACCTACAGGACAGCCTATTCTGTTCATGACACAGGTGAACACTGTACAGTCAATATATTTTTTTAAAATAAATATATTTTAACGAGGGTATTGTACGAGACTTATCCAGTTGAGCAATTGCAATCGACAGTCTCCCTCACTCCCCTTAATTACTTTCAACTCCGAGCGCAGCCGCGCAGAGAAGAAGAGGAGGCTTAAGAGAGCTATCATCTCACGATGCAGCTGCTGCTGATGATGTTGCTGCGGCTGATGATGATGATGGTTCTGCTGGTGCCATCTCCGAGCGAAGCCGCTCGCTCCTGGTCGCGTGTAGGAGGTGGTGGTGGCGGTGGTCGTGGTCGTGTCGTGGTGCAGGCGAGGCTGCCTTCATCATCATCATCCTCATCATCATCCTCCTCGTCATCAGCCTCCGGTTGTGCCGGGCGTTGGGTCCCGCGCTGTTGCCCCGAGCGGAACCCCGACTGCTTTGGCTACGAGAAGCGTGGAGCTCGCTGCTACTGCGACGCGGCGTGCGCAGACACTGGCGACTGCTGCGAGGACTATCGGCGCGTGTGCGCCAGCGCAGGTAAGTCGAACGCGCACGTGGATCGAACGCAGGCAGAGTGTCTCTGCTCGTCTGTCCATCCGAGGCTCTCTCTGTCTTAGCCATGGGGGTGGGTAAGAATGTTGTGTACAGGTGTGCAGAGGGGGCAGGTGAGCGTGGTTAGTGTATGGGGTGGGGGGCAGTGTGGGGTCTGTCAGTCATGGGTTTAAGTCGCGCGCCTACATCACGGCTGCGGCATGGATACGGTGCAGGAGAATTTTTTGTATTTTTTTAGCCGGGCAACGTCGGCGCCACGTTACGGCGACAAAACGCACGGACACAGCACGGACATGGGCACGTGGTCACTGTGTCGACTGTGACCTTTGTAACCTGGGCAAGGGGGCGACAGGTGAATCTGGAAGACGTAGGGGTTGGAGCTGTGGGTTAATATTATGGTGATAGCCACAAGTGAAGAATGTACGGTTTCTTGAGTGAAGTTGTCTCGAGGGCAGGCCATGGAGGTTCTAGGCATGGTGTTAAAGCAAGGATTGGGAACATCCGTACTGAGAGTTGCTTAAGACTTTCAAAAGTATTTGGCAGACAACCACAGGGTCGCATACCGTACACACCGCGTCAATAATAATAATACTCTTAGTTCTTTCGGTAAAGTCACGTAGGTAAAAAATGAGACCGTCACAGCCAGATTTGCTGCATCACTTGATGCAGCAAATCTGGCTGTGACGGTCCCACCTGATGACGGAGACTTGTGTTGCCTCCGAAACGTCGTGATTTTTTTTTTATTAATTTAAATTTCATTTTTTACCAACGTGACTTTACCGAAAGAACTAAGAGTACGAATCCTTGCAGTCACGAAAGCTTCAAATCTAGAATATTACTAATGTGTGTTTATGTACCCGGAGCCGTCCCTAGGGTATTGCGAATTGGGGCGACCGACCCGGGCCCCGCGCTTTGGGGGGGGGGGGGGGGGCGAGCTTCGACGTCACAGTATCGGATGTTAATACTTTCCTTTCGGTTTAGTTTTGAAGGCGTCGGGGGGCCCCACGGAGTGTGATTTTCCCGCCTATGGATGGGCCCTGCGTGTACCAAGTGCAGATCAACCTGCCCATGGGCATAGAGGTCCAAGGTGGGTCTAGCCACGGGGGGGGGGGGGGGGGGGGGGAGTCGTCACTTGGTGAGTCAAGTGCAGCTGCTCAGTTTGTCCATTTTAGACGGAGGTGCATGTGGTATCGAGCGGAGATAATGCTGCTGGCCACGGGGCGACCTGTTATCTACGGGAACAAAAGTGCAGCTGATTAAAGTGCAGCTGATTAAAGTGCAGCTGATTAAAGTGCAGCTGATTAAAGTGCAGCTGATTAAAGTGCAGCTGATTAAAGTGCAGCTGATTAAAGTGCAGCTGATTAAAGTGCAGCTGATTAAAGTGCAGCTAAAGCTGACGGGAGTGGCAGCCAAATGAATGGAACCTGCCCGCCGAGAAAATGGCGCGATCTACATTTTCTCGTGCGCGGTTGGTGCTGGGTGGATAATTATGACACGCCACAGAGGTTGAGGACGACGAGACTGATGGGGGGTAAGGGGGAGGAGGAGGGGATGCCGAGCGAGCAAGGAGCCATGGCTGATGAAGAAGGCTGGGTGACTCGCAAGTTCGCACGATGAAGGAGGGCATGCCCCATAACGCAATGCGCTCTCACACAAGTGGGGTTTGTCAGTGACCTGCCAATCATAAAACACATTGTCCTGCGGAGGGAGCTGGTAGGAACGTTGGGTTGCTCGGTCAATGGCCAGGGTCAACGGTGGCGTGGTGTATTCCGCAAATATGGCCGACTGTGAGGGCGGGCACAAGCCGGCGTGAGTGGGTTAAACGTTGCGCTTTATAAGGGCACCACGGGGTGACCAGCCCCTCCCCACCCTTCCCTCTTCACCCAGCCCCAACCCTCCCATTTTTGGATGCACGACGGACTGACGGACACAATAATCCCCTGTGGGCTGGTGTAACCAGGAGGTTCCTACCAGTATAATGTGTATATTTTCAGTATCGCTGGGTTTAACTTGTTACACCAAACGCGCTGCTGAGATGCTCACTGTGTGTATTTTTGATTGCTGTGTTTTTAGCCAAGGAGTTGATGAGTGTGAGGACCCCCCCCCAAGATGACCCCCACCCCCATCCACCCCCCATCCACCCCCCATCCACCCCCCATCCACCCCCCATCCACCCCCCATCCACCCCCATCCACCCCCATCCACCCCCCATCCACCCCCCATCCACCCCCATCCACCCAGAGGGTTTTATTGGGTAGGGGCGCAGATGTTCACGAGGTTGAACTGGGTCCCCAATGGGACTCCTTCTCAACGATCTGCAGGATAAAGCCCACTCTGGGGACTCGAATAATGGACCTGTCAATAAACTGCAATTTCCACAACAATCACAAACCACAGTTTAAGTGACTCTTCATTAACCCCTTGCACCGAGTACGTACTTGTTTAGTTTATTTATTTTTGTTTTGACTTTTATCTTTTTCCCTTTGGACAAAATAAAAAGAAAATCCAGGATTTATTTTTGTTGGCAATAAAATTGATTTTTTTTGTTTCATGTTCGTTGGCCAGATGGCAAACTGCCCCCCCCCCCCCCAGTACCCCTCAATAAATATGTAACGAGACTGAGCGATCCATTTACAGACACCCCACTATAAAACAATGAGGAGAGAAATCAACATTTTTTGAAGCCAACACACGTGTAAAATCACTTATCACTCTAAAGCTTTCGAGTCATCTCTTTCATCATATCAAAGCACCTTTTTTTGATAAGTAATTCGTGGGGCATCTATACATGGATCAAGCTGTACAATTCCATCATTATCATCATCATCCACGGTCAATCCACTGCTGGATGAAGGCCTCCCGAAGCCTCCGCCACATCTCACAATACTGCGATGTAATAATCCACCATCGTATGAGAACTGCACAATTAAATGGTACAACATGTATTCTTTATTTTTACTTTAGAAAAAAATGCTTGGAACAGGCGGTCGGTCAGAATATATCCCGAGGACACAACTGTACATCCCTGACGCTTTTTCTTCTTCAAAATCTGGTCACGACGCTGGCAACGTGAAATTTGCGGTTTTGTGCCCATGTCTCTTCATTCCACTCACATGTTAGGGCTTAAAAGTAGTGACCGCCCCCCTCCCCCAACTGTAATGAAGGCGTGTAAGCTTTTAATGAGCGGGGCAGCTGGCCCTTCTCGCAAGGCTGTGGAGTAGGAGGAGGGAGGGAGGGATTTGCCGTGTCCCGTTGCGGTTCAATGGGCGACCATCCAGGCCACACCCTGGCTCTCCCGAGTCCCAGGGTGGTGGAAGCAATGGGGGGGGGGGGGGGGTGACGGTACACACTCTGACCCCAACCCCCACCCCTCCTGTGACCTTAGAGTCCTTGAAAAGGAACTCTCAATATCGCCACCCAAATGGGGGTATTTTGTCGCCACCACCACCACCAACAACAACAACCGCCATTCGCCACTAAGTGGCGGTGACGTCGCCGCGACGCTTGTGCCAGGCCACCACCACAACCCGCAAATGTTATCCCGATGGCGCTATGGACATCATGTCTGTTCGGAAATTTAGCCGCGCAGTGTGGCACGCATTGTGATAAAGGTTTTTGAGTTGGATCACGTGATAATAAATAGTGTCTTAACTCTTCACCACCCGACACGGCCAGTAAGGTTTGTCACGTAAACAACGCGCCAGTTAGTTACAACTTCAGCCAACTCGTGTGTTGGAGAGTAAATCCACAACATTTACAATTTAGAGTACGACGTTTCGCTGGTGATTACATCCAGCGAAACCCAACAAGCACCTTGATTGTGAATAATATTGGTCGCGAAAGCCTACGTGTTTAAACCGCATGCGTTGTGTTGGAGAGTAACCCAGGCAAGAGATATCCGAGGGCAAACGCCCGAGGTCCTTTCTCGTGACCTGTGGAGCCCCCCCCCCCTGTACTTTGTCCTTGAGCGTGTATATGACATCGGCGGTGGTTTAACGAGCAAGGATTGGGGAAAATGAAAAATCCTCATGATGAGGTTTTTTTCAGCATCAGAATCGTTCTTTATCCTGGAGAAATCCGATGAGCTGTTAAGCTCTTTGTCGGGAGAGATGTCGTCACGCTGCCTTTAGCGTCCTCCCCACTAACTCTGTGACGGCCCGTGTCCTGGACGAATGACCGAGTAGCAGTCGAGGAGGGAATGGACGAGTCACCTGGAAGTCGTCCTATTATCCGTGACCTTTCATAGCAAACGGCAGTTATTATTGCGGATAATACGATCCGCCAACAACGCGACCTTCACATCAAAACGGATCTGGGGGAGGAGTCTCACAGTGGAGAGTATTTTTCTGCGTTTTGGCATTTCTCGGGATGATGATGGCGGTGCATTTTTGTGGAGGAGCTGGCCCATTGGGGGCCCAAAGCAGCAATTATGTTTGTGCCCCCCCCCCTCCCCACTCCCCACAGCCCCCTTGATTCATAAACTCCCAGTAGGATGACAAAAGCGATGTAGACAAGAGATACAGATGGAGAGGTTTTTTTTTTTAAAACACAGATTAGGGGGACGAGCGGAAGAGTGAAGATGAATGGGAAGGATAAGATGAGCAGGGACATGAAAGTGGCTGGAATTAGGGGGGGAGGGGGGGGCATTCACAACCGGAAGTGGAGGAGGGAGACCTGGGTCCCTCCCCGACCCCAGAGCAACTTGAGAACAATGGCAGCAAGAAGGAGAGACATAAGATCTCGAGCTGTAGTGAGATGAGAGACACGGACAATAGAGATGTAGTGATACGAGAGAAGAGAGAAATAGATGCGGTACGGATGAAGAGAGATGATTGCCCTTTGTTTGTTTTCACGTGACATTAATTGGCGCGCGAGTGTTTGAGTATTTGAATTTTGAGCTGATGTTTGGTTTTCCCCGATTCTTTGTTTGTTTGTCACGAGTCCAGGGGTCGTTTTGAGCGAGCTTCGTGCGGGCCCTGTGGCTT